TGGCACACACCTATAGTCCTAGTTACTTGGGAAGTTAGGGAAGGATCACATTTTGAAGGGAGCCTGAGAAATATAGCAAGACCCTGTCTCACAATTAAAAATCAATCAATAAAAGGAGCTGGGGTTGTATCTCAGTCTAGCATGCACGAGACCCTGAGTTCGATCACCAATACTGCAAAATGAAAAGATTTAAGAATGTATGTTCTTTTCTTAACTTTTCAGTCTCTCTATCCCAGACAAAAACTAGTTTGTCAAATTAGGCCACCATATTTCTTTTAAGAAGGTCCAAAGGAAACCACATTTGTTTTCATAGGCAAATACAAGTATAATGTCACAGGAACACACCATCTCTGCCTGTGAAGGGTCACATTTAGGCGAGGAAGAAATGTGGTTCAATCAAATGCAGAGCCCTTTTTAAGAACACCATTTGGAAGCAATTGTTGTATTTTCAGATGTAGTCTTGAGATTAAGAACTGAGTTCTAAACTACCCTCATCACAATGGAACTTAGAGCCCAGCTGGATTAAAAACATCAGATTTCATATGAAGACTTAGAATCTGAATTTTAGACCTTGAGGGATTTTGAGGTACCCTAGATTCTATTAGACAGATGAAATGGAGAGCCCACAAGTTCAAAAAGTCTCTTGTAACATGGCACCTGAGTGGCTAAATCTCCTACTTCTTGCCCAGAATTCTTTCTATTCTATTTTCTTGCCCTCAAGCTTTTTTAAAAAATCCTGTCTTCCACCAAGTGCTTAGAATATTTCTTTATCTTCTTGAGATTGCTTCGATGTCTATGGCCTATTTTCCATGCTTACATTAATCTTCCAGTTTTCTGAGCTAATGTTTTTTCATCATTTAACCTTTCCTTTAGGTGTCCACATGGCTGGCAGATCTCTTCGCCCTGATCGTTAGATAGTCCTGGGGTACCACAGAGTTTTAAAAGACCTAGGAGGGGAGAGCAGTCTGGAGAGACCCTTCTCCAACCTCCCAAATGCACAGGGCCTGGTCCCTATCTCCTTAGAGATAGTAGGCTTGCTGGGGGTAAGGAAGACTGGCAGACGCAGTCCTGTTTTCAGACACCCCCCGAATGGAAAACATCCTTCGGGGGAAAATGAAGACATGAAATTGCTTGCTGTGGTACCTATCATTCTGCTAAGGACAGTGAAAGCACAGTCTGTCATCCTTGACATTTTAATTGAAAGAAAAGCTTACATAGATTTCATCTGTAAGCAGTATGTTTATACAAGTGTATAAAGAGGAATAATCTGTCAAGTTGGAAAACTCTTAATGCTGTAGGACTCAGTTTAGTAATTGAACAATCCAACATGAGCTCACACATCTTACCTTGTTCCATGCCTCAATAATTTTTAGTAGAAATACTTTACCTAGAGGCATATGGTTATTAACAAGGAGGCACGGCTTGCTCAAAGTCTGGAATTATTAGCTCATGGCAACAAGCCTGCACTAGAGGAAAGACTGTTGGGTCTTTGTTTTCACAATTTTATTGCTATTTTGCCATCTTATTTTCAAAATCTAATTGATGTGTTGCGTGGGACGTTTTTGTTTGTTTACTTTTTTAAAGGAAGAAAATAGAAGTTGATGTAGATGATTGATTTCTTATGTTAGCAGTATTCCATTATTTTAGTACTTCATGGAAAGTCCAGGGAGCAATGTGAATATCAAAAGAAATGGACCATTGAATTTATTTTAGCATAAAAAGTCAATAGTAATTTAGTTATGGGACCATCAAGGTGTGATGGGGGAAGCTCTGCTTTACAAACTGAGCATAAGCCTTGCTCCCTTTCATGACCCATGTGACCTTGGGCAAATATAAATGCATGTGAGTTCAGTTTACTCCTTAGTAAATTGGGAATAATATGACCTACCTACCACATTGCCTTGTTTCGAATCTCATAAAATTAGGGATATGAAAAAACTTTGAAAAAATATGAAGCATTATTCAGGTGCAGTATAAAAAGTTTTAAACAACTGTACTATATTACATAATAATTATTTCAGTACTTTATACACAAAGGGAATTAGACAGTGCAAGTATTCTAGTATCACTCTTGCCTTAGTAATATGAATATTATGGACAATTGATTGATTCTATGGAATAAATCCTCAGTCTGGTCCTGTCCATTTGTTTGTTTCTTTGTTAATATTTTTTCAGTACTGTGGATGAACTCCAGGACCTCGAACATGGTAGGCAATCATTTTATCCCTGAGGTATACACCTCCAGCCCTGATTCCTTATACACATAGTGATGGTAGAGACAGATTCTACTCTTTTCAGTTTTTGTAGTTTTAGAACTCCAAGTGAGAAGTCTAGAAAATTCGGTCAGGTTTGTAAGCAGAGGTTGAGGAGATAATGTACAGAATCTGTGAAAAACAAGAACCTCAGAATTGTTCAGAATCTAAACATATAGGCATTTGAAATAACCATTTTCCCTTCTAATATGTATTGCTGATTGGTCTTTTTGGTATTACTTAGAAACCATAACTAGAATCTCAAGACTGCCCAATACCCTGAGAGGCTTTCTTAACTCATGAGGAAATACTTGATATTGTAAAATTTAGCAGATCTTTGCATGGTGGGGATATAACTGACCTAATGAGAACATTGAACATACCATTTGCTAACTGTTTTATACAACTGAGACTGTCATTTGGGGAAGAATGAAAACTCATTTTGGATTTAATTAATTCTGCATTTCCATTCTCATCATGATTGAGTTGTCTAATTAATTTCTTTTTAAAAAATGAATACACCTATAAAAACTGATGACCAAGATTATTTTAATATGTTAGTTAGAAACAGAATGTAAATAATGCTAATATGTTACCGTACTCTGTTCATGAAGATATCACAAATCAACGTAATATAAGGAAATGCTTTCACTTGTCTTTCCTGTAACAAGTTTTGTTTGTTCTTCGCTGTGATTAAAACTTTCTCTCAAGGACAGATGTATGTTAAAATGCTCTGTATGTGCATATGTGTATGTATAGATGTGTGTATGGACATCTATTTAGATGGACAGATGGGTAATAAGCCTTATGTAAAGTACTTTCTAGAATCTTGCTCATTATCAAACGAAGGTGTTCCGATTATTCATCCTGAACCTGGAGGTAATTTCTGTTACTAAGCATTATGTATTTTGGCATACAACTCTTGTCCTTTCATTAGAGTTCCCAAACAGAATGTTAAGACAGTAGAATATAAAACAAGCATTCCCACCCTACCTATCTGACTTGCGTTATCATTTCTGAAGGATTTTAAGACTATGTGGTCACAATCTACTGTAATATTTTGAAGCAATTAGAACCAGAAGTTTCCTCAAACCGTGAAAGGTCATGGGCCTTCCCAGGCCTGCTTGTCTTATTGTCGGTCCACACTCTAGAGGTCCCAAGGGCACATGTCAAGAGATGCTCTTGGTGCTTCGCTTGCTGTTCGGAAAACACTCATTTCATTGATATTAGCTACTTACATTCACTTCTACACACGTTCTGTTAAAAATAAAAAACCAAGTGAGTGTCATTTGTATGCATTGACATAACCTCTAAGAATGATTTTTATATTCTTTCGTATGCTCACATATGCACCTTCCCAAGCGTATAAATCTTGACTGATTTATGACTAATCCTTATAGGATATGTGTAGCTATATGTCCAAAAGAACTCTCAGGCAAAAAAAGAGTGGAGAACTTCATCTTCTCTGGAATTTTAAAAGCAAAATGAAGAAAGAACATGTTGGCATTCTTTCTACAATCTCAGTCCTCACTTCCCAGGAAGGCACATGGGCTCCACCAAAGTGACTCCCTTATGGGGCTGCAGATAGGGCTGCTGTTTCCTGGAACAGAGGAAAGGGAGCATCCATCACGGCACCCTTACCCAGTTCTTAGCATGAGGGGGATCTCTTCTTTTTTCTTTAGAAAAATAACTAATTCTAGAAGTAGGAGTTTCTCATATGGCCTACAGGATAAAGTTGTTTAATGTGGAAGACTCTGAGGTTTTGAGAGGTCTCTGTTTGTTTGTTTTATTTTGTTTGTTGTTAAATCTTTAATTTAATGGTTTGACATTTATATAGCTCCTCTGAGCAAAAACATCAGGAGATCGAGAATTTAGCTGGGGAGGTCACTCGTTTGCCATTTTTAATAAACACAAATAATTCCCTTTCCCCCTCGGCTCCACATACCCTGGCTCATTAAATCAATTTAAGGCCTTTTTTTTTTTTTTTTTTCAAGTTGAAGCCGCAGCTCCAAGTGTGTTCTCCCCTGAGGGATGCTTACCCAAGTCCAGCAGGTCGGACCCAAATCAGTTTCTGTCACACAGCCTAACGCCTCAAGTTTCACGAAATGAGAGATTGGAGGCGGGGCTGGGCTCTGTACTCACCCCCAGAAAAGCTGGCCTTAGTACTGTGACCCACAATCTGGCTGCTTGAGTTTGTGGCTCGATGGATTTTTCTAGTCACAGGGGAGAACTGTGGAAAATTAAAAATGGATTTCTGCTAGGAATTCATGAATGGCGTTTGCTCTGCCAATTCAAGAGAATGAAAGTATACCCAGAGCAAAGCCAGGTGGGCTTCCAGGCAGAGAGGTGAGGGGCAATGTGGGCAAATCACATGTACTCGGACTTCTAGCTCTAAGATGCTTTAAAGGCTGAGCTTCTCAGTAGACACTGGATTCTGCTACCCTGGCCCTTTCCTTAGAAACAGGTTGTGAGAGGTTTCCCGGCTTGTCTCTGTTAAACATCGGTTAGATAACAGGGCTCAGGAAATGAAGTGGAATTGGTGTATTTGCTAGGAAACAGCAAAGGAAATCAGGCTTGTATTTTATTTGTTATTATTTCCCTAATATCCTCAATTATGTGGCTCTCCCATCACTGGCTCTGATCTGCTGCACATGTGACGTGGGTGTGGGTGTCCCTGCAGGGTCTGGGCCTTGGTGAATAGGCCCAGGGCATCAGGAGTAATGTCTGGTGTTTTTCCTTCGTTCCCAGGCCTGTTCCAGGCTCTCTATCTTCTCTTCTACATCTCCACAACAGACAGAGACAGCCCATGCCAGCCTCCATGCCTGGGACCCTGCCCAACCCAACCATGCCTGGATCTTCTGCTGTCTTAATGCCGGTAAGAGATGCTGGGAGTTCCATTGAAGCTTCTCCCAAATGCAGAGACTCAAAGCTCCTGAAAGAAGGAAAGAGAAGCAGAGATCTAACCTAACTGGGAAGCAGGCAGCAGCTTCTGCATGGAGTGGTGATTTGTGTGCCTCTTTGCCTCAAAAGCACAGCTGCTCATCTCAGGCATTTTGCTGGCTCTCCTGTCTTTTGGCACTTTCAAAGGGCTCATCTCTCTGCTAATTACTAGTGAAGCTGCAATACCCATGGAGTGGAATTTGTTCAAGGAGACAATGTCTTATAACCACAGTTAGCCCTGTCTGTCTGGGGGTTCCATATCTGCAGGTTAACCAACTGTGAATTGAAAATATTTTAAAAATTGTACCTGTACCAAACATGTGCAGACTCTTTTTTCTTGTCATTATTCCTTAAAGAATGCAATACAGCAGCTATTTACAAAGTATTTGCATGGTAGGTATTATAAGTAGTCTAGAGGTGATTAAGTATGTGGGAGGATATGTATAGATTATATTCAAATGCTATGCCCTCTGATACATTGAATGTGAACGTCCACAAAGTTTTGCATAAGAGGGAAGCAGGAGTGTTCTAGAGCCAATCTCTTAGCTACAAGGGATGGCTTCACTACAAAGTCCAGTTTGACTTGTATACACTGACCATAAACTGCCAATGAACTAGCCTATACTCAGAGAAATAATAACAACAATAATGATCATATATAATAGCTGCTAATATGTATTTAAGCATATCGTGTTCCCTAAATCATGCTATCAGCATTTATTGAATGCTTATTTTGTGCTGGTCACTTTCAAGCCCTTTGTCAACACGTTAAACAATTCTGTGAGGTAGTCCTATTACTGCCCCATCTTTTTTAAAAAATGTGGAGTATCTACACAAAGTCTGTGTTTTTTAATTTTAATTTTTTGGGGGAGCCTGTGGATCAAACTCAGGACCTTGCGCTTGCAAGGCAGGCGCCGACACCGCTGAGCTAAATCCCCAGCCCTTTTCCCCATCTTTTGAATGAGGAAAGTAAAGCGATCAACTTGCTCAGATGAGAAGCAGAACAGCTGAGTTTTGAGCCCAGAAGTTCTAGCTGCTAAGCCCATTCTTTCGCTATCAAGGTCTAGGTACATTCTATCCCTTCACTTTTCCAATGAGAAAGGCACTATCACTACAGTGATTTTACAGACGAGGAAATGAAAGCACAGAGGGGCTGAATAACTTGGTGAAGGTCATACAGGTAGTAAGTGTTGGAGTGGGGATTTAAATCCAGGTAGTCTGACTGCTGAGTTTCCACTTGTAATCGTTGTATTATACTGCTCCCCTCTGAAATGATAGATAAGTGCAGAAGAGAGATTTACACTACTGCAGAGGAGATCTTGCTCTCTTTCCATGGGGCCTCCTCCCTGTCCTTCGTTGTCACTGTACTTCGGGGAACGTGGTTGGTATTCTGATTCGCAGGGCCACGAGAGTTCTCAAAAGCCCTAGAGATGGTGCGACATCTCAGTTAAAATCTTCCCACAAGAGATTAACAAAGGTTCACAGAGCATTTTGACATTTTACGGAATTATCAATATTTTTATGTCATCTTATTTTCCTGGAAATTATGTGGGAATATGGTAGCAATAATTATCGAATATCCATGTTACAGATGAAAATCTGAAAGGTAAGAAGTGGGAGTTGTCCGATGTCACATGGTTTGTGAGTGAAGAGTTGTGACTGGAACGGAAATTATGTGGGAATATGGTAGCAATAATTATCGAATATCCATGTTACAGATGAAAATCTGAAAGGTAAGAAGTGGGAGTTGTCCGATGTCACATGGTTTGTGAGTGAAGAGTTGTGACTGGAACCCACATCTCAACTCACATTGAGTGACTTAGATCATCCTTGGTTGAGCACTTTGTTTGCTTTCTAAGGGTAGGCTGAGGAATGTAGATCAGCTCAGTTTGGAGAAAGGGACCTGCCCACTACAAAGACTGGGTGGTCCAAGCTGTAAATAATCTTTGTGATGTTGAGCTAGGGAATGGGAAGATCAAGCCGATTGATTTTACCCATAATATTCCTATGTAGATGAAGAAAAACAGCGCCATCGATGCAATTCTCTCAGGTTTTATTCAGTTGAACTAATTGCTTGGAGAGTTCCAACACAAGCTGTCTTCACTTAGATTCTAAATCCCTCTTGCCGAATATGATATTAGTTTTCTTTCAGAACTTCTATACCTTATCCAGAAAAATGACACTATAGAGAAATGTATGTATGTACATATATTTAGCTAAACTGTATAGCATTATCAGGGACAAAGGTAGGACAGTTGGGCTGAAGGGGGTAGGTGTCTGGCCCTGAGCTCCACATTATCTCTTCCTAGAACTTGACCTTTTGTTGATACTTCAGGATAGAAGCAGACATTCAGGTACATGGGCAAGAGCCAGTGTAGACAGAAAGGTAAGGATGCCAGCCCTGCAGAAGTTCCCAAACCCATGTCTGTGGTGTGTGTAGCTGCCATGACCTAGAGCAGCAATTCTCAACTGGGAGCAGTTCTGTCTCCCAGGGGTTATTTTTCACTATCTGAATATACTTGGTTGTCACATCTGGAGTGGAATGGGAGTTCTAGCATTAGTAGGCAGAGGCCAGGAATGCTGTTAAATGTCCTACAGTGCTCAGAACAGCCCCATAATAAGTGATTATTTGACCAAAATGGCAATAGTACTGAGCTTGAGAAGCTTTGGTCTTGAGTGCTGCTAATATTGCTAATGATAATATAAAATCTCCTTGAAATCCAAACTTTTTCTTCATTAGTTTCCTGTCACCAGCTAAGGTGTATAACTTTGGCCTTCTGAGGATGGCCAAGGGCAGCCTCTTCCCCTAGAGGTCCTGCCCTGGGAAACTATAATTCCTAGTGTTAAAGATTGAGACTGTGTCTTTAAGTGACAGTGAAATTCTTAACTGATTTGTAATGCACGCTACCAACCCACACATTTTACAAAGCCTTGCTCTAAAACAAAAGGATATATTCATTCATTCATTCATTCATTCATTCATTCCCAAACCTTGTGGAGCACCAAGTACTATGCTAGATGCTGAGGATGTAGGAAGAACAGTACAAAAGAACAAATACTTCAGTGAGTTGTGATTTTTCATCTTGAAAATTAAACTAATAATTTAGGAATATGATCACTCATTTATTTTTACAGAAGTGCAGCAATATATGAACCATCTAGCTCTTGTTTTTAGTGTGTAAAGAAGAGGGAGTTCTTTGTTTTTGTTTTTTGTTTGTAGTGCTGTGGATCCAGTGCAGGGCCTCAGCATACTGGGCAAGCACTCTGCCACCGAGCTATGCCCCCAGCTTCTGCCTGGGTATTTTACCTCTAATGCTGAATGGTGCCCAGCATTCAGCAGAGGCACTCCATCTCCTGGCCTCTTAATTCCATTCAACTGATTAAAGCTCAGCTTCTGGTGCAGACAAAGGCTTGTTAACACAAAGCACCAAATCCTTTCTTTGCAGAGGCCCTTCCTGACACTCTTTGTTTGTATGACAATAATTAACAAGATGGAAAATACAATTTTTGTTCATTTTCTTGGTGCTGAAAATCGAGTTCAGGGTCATGAATATACAAGGCAAGACTCGCTCTTTGAGCTCTACCCCATCCCCCGTTTTTAAAAATAGATTGAAAAATCAGTGTGTTTGGAACTAGTACTCTGTGAGTCATGGAGTAGAAACAACCATAGATGAACACTTTTCCAAAATATGGGAAGGATTGCTGACTCTAGATCCAGAAGCCACAAGCAGGCTACTCTCATCTCTTTGTACAGCTAGTAGCTTGGAAGGCCCTGGACAATTACTCATACTTTTGTAAGAGTCGTCTTTGGAAAACTGAAGGCAAAAGTTCATCTGTGCTTGGATTTCTCTCTTTAAAAGGGTCATCTATAGAAGTAAGTAGTGAAATGATATTCTGACTCTCCTATCCTGTCTCTGGGAGTGGGAGTTATAATTAATATGCATTTTAGAGCAATGGAACTGTTGAAATTTTCATGACTTAACAATTAGAATACATGAATGAACTTAATGGCACTGAACTTAATGTACCTAATGGTATTTAAAATGTTTAAAATGGTAAATTTTATGTTATGTATTTTACCTTAATTAAAACAATGATTTCAAAAATTAAATGTATCGAGGCTGTCTGGAGATTTGGTGGTACGTGAGAATGAGTGTTATGTTTTACTGAATTGGTAAGAACTCAGAAAGTTTTGCTGAAGTGCTCTGGAATATTTAGAAAATTTGCCTTGGGTAGCTCCTTTTGACACAGTTTGTCATATCCATCCCTTGTCAGTTAACTGATCAATTAATTCAGGCTAGGATGGAGGCTGAGTATCTCCAATCAATCAGGTGAAAACGTTTAGCTCACACGTATGCTAATTCACAGACTAGGGTCCTAATTGAACTCCTGCCCCTGAGGGCAGACACAAACAGAATCACAGTCACAGAATTTCTACAATGAAAGAGACTTTCAGAGTCTTTTAGTTAAATGATCACTTTCAAGCTTCCCTCTTGCCCACACTTTCCATCTTCCGTGCTTTGAAACCTGTAAGATACCTTCTCATAATTTCCAAGAAGATCTAGGGTAACTTAGAGCAAATGCTTGATTCCCCTAATTTTCTAACCATTCTTTTCATTTCCTTCTGTTGGTAAATGGAAACATATTTGTATTAAATAATCTATATCCCCCTAAAGAAAATAGTTATTTTTCTGTATGATAGTAACATTATATATACTTGATTTAACTTATTCTATGAAAAGTGTTATTTTTCTACTAACAAAATATTGTTAACCAGACACATCCTTCTCAGACTGAAATGGAAAATTTAATGTATACGTTGAGCATCCTTAATCCAAAATCTGAAACATTTTACCAACATGATGCCACCTGATGTGATAGGTGACACTCAAAATGCAGGAGCACTAAAAATATTGTATAAAATTACCTTCAGGCTATGTGTAGGAGGTGTTTATGAAACATAAGACTTTCATGTTTAGACTTTGGTCCTGCCTTGAAGCTATCTCATTATATATATGCAAATATTCCAAAACCTGAAAATGTATGAAATCCAAAACACTTGTCATTTCAAGAATGTCAGATACAGGGGGCTCAACCTATGTTTACTTCTTAATAGGATCACCCTGAAGACAAAAATAGCAGTTCAGGTATCTGAGTCTTGTTAATTTTAGATGGATGATAATGTGTTAGCATTGTTCAAGTATTATCTAAAACCCACACTGCCTCTCTTCACCTACCCAAAGACCCAGCTAAGCAGGGAGGCCTGAGACAGTGGCTCTGTGGAGTCCTGAGCAGGTTAGGAGGAAGGAGGAAATGCCCCCAGAAAGCAACTCAAATGTCTAGGCTGGGTCATTTTGACTTCTTGATGAGCTGGAGCAAAAGGATGACGCATCATATTGGAGAATATTGTTTTTAAATTAAATTTATATTTTTCTTATTGCCAAAAGATTCCCATCTACTGTATACAATTTAGGGAGAAAGAAATGCCATTAATATCCTGAGATAACCATTTGGTGCATTATATATATTTTTCCCCTTCCGTGCATATATTGTTTCTTATAATTAAAAAGACAAGTATGATTGGTGATATTTGGAAAATGGGCACAAATTAAATACTTAGCAATTTTGTTTGGAAATGATTTACCAGGACAACAGTTGTCTTGGGCAGGAGAAATCTACAGATGGCCATGCTTTGGATGATTCTTTGATATGCTCGGATTCAAAGCTCAGGAGTACATTACAGAACATATACCAAAACCTCCAGTTTTCTAAGGAGTTCTTCAAAGAAATCCTAAAGGATCATTGGAAGGGAAAGTGTGCCTTTGTCTGTGCCCCCGTCTACCTTTCTCAGACTTCTAATTCTGTTGCTTTCCTTTCTCTTAGATGGAGAGACAAATGTCAGTGAACTCCAGCATCATGGGCATGCAAGGTCCAAATCTCAGTAACCCCTGTGCTTCTCCCCAAGTCCAGCCAATGCATTCAGAAGCCAAAATGGTAAGTAACAACTGTCATCATCAATTTACTATTTCATGACTTTTTCTTTTGATCTCTACCCTGAAATCTGCAATGTCAGTTAATCCAACTAGAGGGTTCTGTCTTTGTTTTGGTGAACAGAGCTATCTCTGGAAAGGCAGTTCAGAGACTGGAACTCTTTAGAGGATTATTTGTTATAGGTCCTTGATATCAGATAATTGTGTTCCAAGCATTGGGTTGGCATGTGATGTTTAAAAAAGGGACATTTTGAAGTTTGGGAGGATCCATAGGAGTTGGGATAGGACATGTTCAAGTGTATTTGGTCACCACGTGAAATAACAAAACTAATCCAGATCCAACGTCTTCCTCAAAGCAGTTATAGCTTCAGTGCCAGTTTCCTGTGCCCATATTGTTAAAACAGACCTTCGGTTCTTAAGCATGCATTATGATAAAAATATTTTGCATTTTTTTGTTATAGTTGTCAGATGTGATGTTGATTTGAAAAGATGAGTGCTTTATTATCTTGCAACCTATGCTGAAAAATGTGACTTCAGGTGACAACCTTTAGAGATTTTTAACATATGATATTTTTGTACAGTGAGATCAGTCTTTCCAATGTCAGTGATAGATTTATGCATCTATATTCTCCAAATAGTATTAAAAGCAGTGCATGTCTGTCACTGCAATATAAACTTGTTTGTACTCTTTAACAAAGTTAGTTAAAATATGTAATTTTTATATAGTTAAATTTAGACACTGCAATTAGTAAACAATCAAATGTCTGCAAAATATACCATGCAAATTTTTTGTATCTGATATTTGATAAGATGGTGTTTGCTAGAAGATGGAGATTTGTCTGTCTTGCTTTCTGACTGGTGGGTTAGGGACTGTGTTGGTATAAAGGTGCTTTCGACAGCTCTGAAGGTCAGCCACCAATTCCTGTCCATGGGTGAAGTCAGACGTAGGAACTTCCTTTTTACAGTCAGCAAGAGGTGCTTTTGATGCCTGTGTTGGTCACTGTCTCTTGGAAAATTCACTCATTTTTGATGTGCAGCTTCTTGACCCGAGTAATCAACTGAACTCTCAGTGTTAGCTACCTTGGGCAAATAAAATCTGTGGTCAGGAGAGCTCTCTTTGCTGTGCCACAGCTCTGTGATGTGCCAAATGGCACCAGCACCCACAGCAGAGCTCGTTAAATCTTTTTGGAATCGGCAAATATTTTTTCAACTTAAGCCCTGTGGAGCCAAACCAAATACTTACTGGCAGACTAAAGTTCAAATTGGCATCTGCTTTGGAGACCAAAGTAATTCCATTTACCTTTTTTTTTTTTTTTCTTTTTAAAGGAAAAATAAAGTGAACTGTGAAGGTACTTAAGAAAAAACAAAATGAAGTCCTTCATGCACGTAGAATAAGCGCTCTGGGTCTGAGATGTTAAGCCCCAGTTGGATGATTCCTGAATTTTATTTCTCTCAGACCTTCCAGATAAACGCTAGAGGGGTGCTAAAATGCAATTCCAAACCATATTTCCTTGCCAGTTGATTTTCACTGGGTTTTATGATACCACTTGACTCAGAAATGCCCTGACTCTCTGCTTGCTGGCAAAGAAGGAACATACTTCTAAAGGTAGTACATTATAATTATTTATGTGTATGAAATAAATCATATGCTATGGCAAATTAATAGTGAATAATGTCAGCTGGAAACAAAAGGGAATTGATCTGTGCTTATAAAAATAATGTCACCACTCAGATGTTTGCTGAGTTAAATTCACTGAGCAAGCACACTACTCTGCTGATTCATGTTCTAAGTGAGTAAGTATTTCCAGGCCCACAGTGTCTGGGCTGATGAACTTGGTCATAGAGTTGGGGGCTCAGGGACCACAACTATTCTCTTTGCCCCCAGCTCCCGGTCCTGCTCCCCTCGTTATTGCCAAAACATTAATCCAAAGGGGAAATGGTATATTTGCCGCTTACATTTGAGAAAATAACAGTTGCTTAGAAGCTTGGAAAAGTGTTAAATGAACTTTGATATCATACAGCATCTTTGTTCTTATTCTGCTTGCTTTGTTTCCTGGAGAAACCAGTTATTTCCATCTACTAGCTATACAGTATTTTCTAGCAGCTTTGGGGGCCGCTCAGATGAAAAGCTTTTCTAAAATCCCAAGTAGTGAAGGAAAAAAAAAAAACCTTCCGTGATTTTAATGTCAGCCAGAGCCTCCCCAGGATTCTCTGAACTATGGGTTTTGTTGTTCTATGCCTAATTTTCTTCCTGTGTAATACTGGAATGGATTCCAGATTTCAACTGCGACTCTTGTTTCACTGTTTTCAAGGACTTTTCCTAAGGTCACACATGGGCTATTGTGATGAATGCACTCAGCAGGGTGTGTTCTCAGAGCACACAAGTAACCAGAGAGCTCCAGGGGAGGTGCTGCCCATTCCGCAGCACCAGATTTGCTCTTCCAGGAATCCTGCGTCCGCATGTTCATTTCAAACTCCCCATTGGCCCCTGACAAAAGCCATCATCCTGAGTATCTCAGGAAACTTGGAGATCTTAAAGGAGGACAAACGCTCAAGACAGGATTGCTTTCCATGCACAGCTGTGCTAGAGGCTCCCAGATGAGCGATTTCCCATCAGAATGCCTTTGCTTTCTTTACATGAAACCAGTCATTTTTGTTTTGGAAGAGAGTGAATTGGGTGTTCTTAACAAGCTCTCAGATCCATTAATCTGATCAACCTAAATCAAGAAGCACACGTACTAATCTTGTGATTTAATGTGCATTAGCATCAGTGTTCTAAGATCGTTTCTTCATCATTCTGATTCTAATTTAGTGTTATGAGTTCTTCTTTATCTGCAGAATTATGCCAGTAGACATATGATGGCGTGATTGTATGAATGTGCACACACATATTGGGGTTCAACTGGGAGCTATTGTGGGCTCAAAGTCCTGACAGCCTCCCACCTTTCTAACCCACAAAATAATAGGTTCTTCCCTCCAAATGCTTGGGACCTTTGTGTCTTACGTGGAAGTGGGGCCCAGGAAATTCACTGGCTACCTGGTGGAAATTTTTAACATTCAATGGGGAAACTGAGAGAAGGAGGGGGACGAGCCAAGATAAATGGGAAAAGAAAGGAAGTCCTGACAGAGGGTGGGGAAGTACAAACTGCACTGGGACAGGTTTCCAGTCGCTGTGGTGTGCAAGTGATTCTGCAGTGATATTCATGGTATTCTCAGAGTTATATAGATTTGTAGTCATTTCATTTGGTGAGAATTAGATCAACTCTGTCTAGCTTTAAAAGAGGTTTTTGTTTTAAAGAAATTGATAATAAGCCAGCAGCACATCTGTAATCCCAGCTACTCAGGAGGCTGAGGCAGAAGGGTCCAAAATTCAAGCCCAGCCCGGGCAACTTAGAGAGATCTTGTCTCAAAATAAAATAATATAATAAAACCAGAAATATAACTCACTGGTAGAATGCTTTCCTAGCGTGTGTGAGGTCCTGGGTTCAATACACATAACTGCAATATATATATGGCAAATTTGGAAGCTCAATAATCACTTGGAGGGGATATTATTTGTCTATATACCTGTCTTGAGTCTCACTAATGATGAGAAGACTACTACCCTACAGAAACAGATTAAAATAAAGGATGGTAGGTAAACAACTATTTTCAGGGGTGGGGAGACCTCTGGCTCCTGTCCACAGATTGTACCTTCAGTTTGGACAGGGCTGGTGAAGGCTACAGAGTATTGATACTAGGAAGAAGGTGTGTATAGTTGTGCTTGACTTTGTCCTCAGCACTGTGACAAAGGCACTGTCTCCCCTTTACAGCTGAGACAACAAAGTCTCTGAGAAGTTTAAAAACCGACTGTGTCACATCCCTTAACAAAGGCTTAAGCCTCACACTTTAGTGACAAAGGTTTTTGATCCTTCAAAACATAACATCAATCCTTTAGACAAAAAATGTCACAAAGCTACTGAGGTCAGCAGCTAATAGATTAAATCAAGTTCTTGGGGATTGAACTCATGGCCTTCTCCCTGAGTTACATCTCCATCTCTCTTTATTTTTTAATTTGTAACAAGGTCTCGCCTAGACTGGGCTCAAACGTGCAATCCTCCTGCCTCAGCCTTACAGGGTTAAAATCAAGTTATTTTACTTATATTACATCAAAATAGGGGTCAAGATGATAGCATAGTTTAGACCCCCAGTAACCTGGAGAGGAAGAGTTGTTCATAGCTTTGAGCTTCCCCCTTGTTTTTATCAGAGCTCTGGCCTCACTGCCTGACCCAGCTCCACGGGTTGTTACACTTCTGTCTTTTCTTATTGTACGTGTGTTTCTCTCACTTGATTGAGTGGAAGCTCCTTGAGAATAATCCTTGCATAATGCGGGTACCGTGAACTATGGAATCAGTTCTGAATTAGATCTAGGAATTACTGAATTGAACTGAATTGAATTGAATTGCACTGAAATAATGAGAAGGAACCAAACTGCAGTAAGGAAAGGGAACGGGATGGAGAGGGGAAGGAGAAAAGGTGAGGCTGAGAAGGAGAGGATAGAAATAAATTCCAAGCCAGCCGTCAGCCTCTAAAGAGTGGCTGGCGACACTTAATTTCTTTGAAAGTTACCTGCAAATAACACCTGTCGTATTTTTGCCTTAAAAAGAAAGCAATATATGTGCTACTTAGAAAAGAGACGTCAGAATATCATTGTCCTCCTTGGAATTAAGAGCAATCAATAACTAATGCTATTTTTCCCATTCTGAGGGTCATTGATTATCAAAACCTCCTCTATACTTAGGTTTGTGGTTCATTGAATAAATACATAAATATATGCATTAAGAAATAAATGAAAGAAACCAAAAGAACCGGAGAGCCAGTGCCTTTTAGAGACGGAGGGTATGGATACATAAAAAGGACTTTGTGCTCTAATCTCGGGCCTACAATTTCAGCCCAGGATTATGCTTTTTCAGTCAGCTGTACTGATAAATTCTAACAGAGCTTCTGTTGGCTCATGATTTCCAC